CGACGCGCACTGCTCTTAAGGTTGCTGGAAACCTTTCAATCACCCACTACCGATTTCACCATTACAGTTTAGTTATTTACGTCACTCCCATAAATAGCGAGCGGTAATGACGCTGGAAATGTTCCCGAACTCTGAAGGCTTTGAAATTGTTTGTTGTTACCTGAGGTGTTTCGAAGTCCGATTGGTGAATTACACTTTTAAATGGAAAGCACTACCCTCGGTGATTGAAGCCATAGACGGCTGGGATAATCCGTTCCTACGTTCAACATCACTGAGGACCACCGACTTAGGCTGCCTGAGTATTTCGCAACCTAGGGACTCAATGTAAATGTTTATATTAGAATGCGGACAAATAGGTTCATTCAGACCATTGAGAATCTGGCGAAGAATTGGAATCAGCTGACTCTCCGCGGTCAACTGTCCAGATTAACCACGAAAAAGGAAGCCTCAGTCGCTGAAAATGTGGTGCAGGTACGCCTCGTACTCATTAGAAAACTTCAAGAAACAAGGTCACCCAGAGTGCACTCAGATCGCACACCATATTACCGCTGTGAAATAAAAAGTATTATTCAGTTACTTTCTGGAACAGGCAACATTCGCGACCAAAGTTAGTCATTCTCGAAAAATTAACAGTAGAGTAGGGAGTAATCAAGAGTTCTTATCTGCGGCATCTAAATATTTCGGCCAGAAAACCAATTTAAGAATGAAATTCAGATATGTTGTTGGTTTATCCAAATTCTCAAGGATATTGTGATTATCCACATTTATCTTTTCGAAATAAACGTTCTCAGAGCGTCGAACGGTTTTCAATGAAATATCAGGACAGTGAGTTTGTCAAACACATGCACACCAAGCAAATAGAATATCGGAAACGCCTACTTGTAGTAGCTTGTATGGAATCGATCTGATTTATTCAACATCCTTGTTCTTGTAAAAATGACAATGACAAGCCTTATCTTACATGACAAATCTTATCACTTGAGAAAGGCTATGTAAACTACACTCATTGTTTTGAAGACTGCGATTGCCATAGTTCGGTGCAACAACGAAAAAGATGTTCACAACACTGAGAAAGACAGACGGCCCTGTTTATGAAGCAATTTTTCTAAATAGTTTTGCATCCCACTAATTGCACTGCAGGCTTGAATTTACCCGAGGCATTCTACTGCAAAACAAATAATTGTTTTTATCCCTTCGCTCACCAGCCGATTGGACATTGTTTCTTTTTTTGCTATGGCTTATATAAATCAAATAAGTAAATGAGGAAAGATTTGGGGAATGAGTAATGCAAACGTGAGAGGTAAACTTAATTGATGTCTGTCGGTGAGACAGCGCGTTTACATCCGTTGAATCCCTAACTGAGGTGAACAAACCTGCATAGAAGAACTGTATGAAGGGAAATTGGCTCTGATGCCAAGTCTAGGAATGTAGTTCGTCAGTTAAATTAAATATCACTAAAAGCCGTCAAAACAGTGTATTGGTACCGAATAGTCTTGTTGAGTGCCTTGTTTGGATTCTTCATAGTGGTTCTTAGGGCTGGCGATTTTGGGTGCTCTGTTCTCTTGCGACAACAATACAAGCGCGCAGAGTTGATAGATAACCACCCTAGAAGCCACAGTGCTTCACTTCATCAATAAAGGTACTGCGACCAGTTTGATATGGAATGGTTTACATACCTTACAGAAGGAGAAAAACATATCAGCATGTACCAGTAAGATTCTATCCCTTCCCAAAACAATATCCTTCCGGCTCCTCATAATCTCTCTTTATGTAGTTATTTCTGGGTTGAAGAGGGTGAACGGCTACAGTGTAATAACAAGTAAGTACACCCAGAAACGTTTCTACACACTTTCTACCATGCTATGAACATGTCGCCAAAATTGAGCTACATCGTGTTTTTTAAAACGAACAAAATAAGGTTCGCATGTGACTGGCAACATGCTGGGGAACCAGAATGTGATTAACGGGTCGCTAACCTCAAGACTGTTTGCCAATTCAGCAAATGAACTAAACCCTCATCAGCACACGATAGTGCTGCAATTAAGACGCAGACGCACACAAAATGACCAGGAGAATCGCGGTTTGAACCCAACTTTTGCACCTCAACTGCTCCTATGTAGGCTTGGGCAACCTGGCAATATCTGAGGCTTCATGCTCTTTTCAGATGATGTGGCGCTCAAAAGGGTAAGTACAAGTGAACAAACCAAACTGGAGCAGTTATGTCATCATGAAAACATTTACAGCTGTGTAAAATAAGTTGCGATTTTGAAACGCGCACGTCTGACAGTTTTATTTGCATAGGGTTATCTATCCTTCGTGGTTCCACTAATTTGGTGCAGTCCAGTACCTACTCATTCCAACTTCCACTTACTGTAATCTAAACAAATCAAGTTACCACCATCTCCCTTGCAACAGTTCGATATTAGCGAAAAGATCACGAGGACGTTTACAAGAATATTCTCTTTTGCGCGCTTGTACATGGTCAACACCAATACTCTTATCACGAGGCGAAAGATAAAACAAAACCTTTCCTCGGATCACCTGAGTTTACCCACTAATTTGTCTACAGGCTAGGAAATGAATAATGCGATCGAGTTGGTGTTTTAGATGCCGTCCAAGCATTTTATAATGTACAAAACAAATCCTAGACACTAGGCGTCTTCCTAGTTCTTATTTTTTGTGCACGGAGAGCTGTGTTCAGCCTTTGAGAATCGATTAGCTAGAGATTTAGACATAGTCTTACCGTAAATAGTCCAATTCATACAAACTTCAATCCTGAACTCCAGTAGTGATCGGTGACCTTAACCAGCTTTTATTGTACTCAATGTTGTGATCCATTTTGTTTGTACTACACATGTTTAAGTAGGACGAATCGTAATTGACAAGTTTGCTTTCGCGAACATGGAGCTGTCCTGAAGAAATTTTCCCGTTGCACTTTTCTGTCACTGTTGGGCAATGATAGGGTACCGCAAAACAAGTGGGATTCAGCCCCACCCCCTAAGCTGGATTACAAAACCGGGACGTTTGTTCATGATCAGATGTTCATGATCACATTCGATGGATTCCTTAACGAAATGCGCAAAATAGTGACAAGGCTTCGGATAAGTTAATAATGCTTTTAGTTTTTGTGCTAACATTCATGCTGGGCCCAATTTGTGTGTGTTATTTACTGCGGAAATACAGGATTGCTATGGACTGTTGGATATCATATTTGGTCGCTTCGACCTTGAG